CTATTTTGTTCCGATAATACAATATCTTCTCTAAAGAATACATTCTGTTGATGAGAATGTTCATGTAGTTTCATTCAAGTGACCAAATTCTCAGTTTTTCAGAAAGTGAATATGTTAAAATAACAATATACATATATTCTGAACGAGATAGTTCTTCCATCCACTGATTTTGTCGAATAGTCAAAAAATTCATAATGATTGATTGAACAATGTAGTTGTATCAACGAAATTTGTTTCATGTCAACTATAAATGTTGTGGAATGAAATGAAGTTGTGTTCAAGTAAGCAAATATTTTGTCTTTTTGAATAAGTCGCTTATTTGTTGGCGCAACAAAACTTTTTTTCCGTGTATACTTACCGGATTGTTACCTCAAGTATTGTCAACCTTTTCTGATGGCGAAAATTCCCACACTCCAGGCTCAAATGAATTTTCACAAATTCTGGTGAAAACTTGTATTATGTAAGCAAAATTCTATGAAATTCTTGCTCATTCACCCACTGAACCGCAGAACGAGAGTAGATAAGGCCATCAATGACAATTTTTGTCTTCCTGTATTACGATATCAATGAGCTTATCAGTTCCCGTTAATCTGCTGCCCCCGATAATAACATGGCATGAACGAAAAAATAATTTGGGTGAGCTGGATTGCATGATTGTATATACAGGGAGAGTCATAACTATTGGGACATATGCTAAGGGCGGATTGTCTGGACCAAAATATGGCCATAGGACCAAATATGCCTCAATAAAATATTGCTGTGGAAAAATAGATTCGATTTTAGTTAGATACGCGTTGAATTAAATAAGATTCTTTTGTGTTCCTTAATGTTAATTATGATTATGAGAGACTGAATTTTCTTCGATCGTCTGGGGGGGAAAAGTAATTACCCCCATTACCCCCCGCCTTGTATACGCGCCTGTTTGAGAACGTCTTTCAAGATTGAGTCTATTGTTTTTCGCGGTTATTCTCTCTTATTATATAGATGCGACATAGAGTTTCGCTCACTCTGTAGTCTGTACAAGTGGCATCCAATGCAGGTAATCGTAACAATTATATTTACTGTTACGTTTGAATGTTTTGTTTAAAAAATATGCATTCCAATGATTGTTAATATGACTAAGGAAGAATCTAACAATGCACAGTGAGTAAAAGATCCCTATCTGGTTTATCCGGAAAAAGTCCCTGTCTATTATGCAGATCATCTAAACTGAACACCAATTCCTAACGAAATTATACGTCCATGTATCTCTCCATCTTATGAGTGTTCTTTAGTTCTCTCCCATAATTTCGAATAATGCAATTGGCTTTCAGTCTTCGCAAATATAATGAGCATTATTGCTGTTTATCATTACTTCATTTGATTCTTCTTGCCCGTTAACATTGGAGAATAACGGCCTTCACGAATGACCTTGCGCGCATGCTGGATTGTTCATCTTCAAATTTGTTCAATTTTTTTCATTCAACGATAACGTCATTATTTGTACATAATGTTATTTCATCCTTTCATGTATTTACTCATTTATACGTCTTCCTGTTATACAATGATATCATCGACAGCATTCGAATTCCAAGATATTCGTTCTTTATTGCCGGATTTTAGCCCGTGCTATTGCTCTTACACGCTACGGTCCATAAAAGCATATTTCACGCCCTTGATACATAAATACCTATTGTTACCAAATCGTTCATTCCTGAAGATAAAAAGTCACAACTTTCACGGTTTGATATGAACACAAGGACCTTTTATTTGAGTGAAACAAAAATCTGAAGTCACTTGAAATTATAATACCTTGGTAACGGTTGCTATCATCAGACCCATAACGCAGGGGCATTATGAATCATAACGAAGGCTAATTGTTTTTTCTGTAGTTCATAAAATCACATTCAAATTCTTGAAAGTACCAGGTGAACAACTAAGAACGCCTGTCGGCGTGATCTGGAGTATCAATAGATAATAGTGAATTGAAAATGTAATGTATGCATATACAAACAACGAAAACTGCAACATGATAGCTTTTTGCTAACGGAAGATATTGACGATCAAAGTTGGGAAAAAGGATTGATGATATTCTACTAGTTTTAGACATATTGAACGACAGAATATTGGCGTCACACCAATCTTTCACCTTTTTCAAATCAGATGATATCATTTGGTGCAGATCTCGAGGATTCCTACTGTTCCATAATATAGTAGTATCATCTGCGAAGAGTGAACGTTCCAGTTATATCAATTTTCGTGAGGTCGTTGATATACAATGAAAAAAGTACAGGTCCCATCACAGATCCCTGTGGAATACCATAATCAATATTTCTAGTTTTGAATAGTTTTGTCGTTTTGACCACTTGATTTCTTCCTGATAAATATGATTCGAACCATCTGTATTTCATTCCTCTGCATCCATAATGATGGAGCTTCCTCAGCAGCAAATAACTATAACCGAGAGTAACTTGTTTCATTTCAAACGTCACACTGAGAATATTGAATGTACAGTATACAATATAAGGTGAGTCTGAATAAGACCGAAAAATTTCGTATATATACGAGATGAAAAGTTCCTATCAATGTATGTCGTAAAATGCATCCGGGTGACAAAAATACGACAACAAATAAGGATCCGTAATATTAAAACTCAATATTATATCCAAGATTGATTAATTAAATATGGATTTTACATTTTTTAAACTCCTTGAGCAGTGGCATATTCTAATGACGTCTTATTCAAATCCCCATTGGTCCATGACATCCCCGACTGAACTGTACAATTTGCAATCATTTAGAAGTGTCCCATTTGGACGTCATTGCTACGTCACTGTGCTACCAGGAATGTTTTGATATTGAATCAAAAATATGTGTCATTGCATAAGTATAATTCGATGTTTAAGGCGAACATCGAAGGTAAATCCGAAATAATGCAGAACTTTGTATGCGGCAGAGGCAGTCACGATCGAATAATTTGATATATTTACATTCTTAAATAATTGTTGCCCAGCAAAGACAATGCGACAGCAGAATTTGGCGCAGGTTATTGAAATGTGAGACCTACATTTCTTGAGGGTAGAGGTCTTTCAAAATAACGATCGTTGTAAGCGTTCCATTACTTACTATATTGGTATAGTGCCAACATACGAAGAAAGCATATTCTTTTCGTAGGATATACAGGGTGTTTCGTAATATGTAAGACGCACTCCAAGAGGTGATAGGGCGTTTCAAGAAAATAAAAAAGTTCCCATAAACAGAAGTCGTAGAATGCTTCGTTAGCGAGATACACGGTGTTGAAGATGAAAATATTTATAGATTTTTTTATGTCAACCATGTAGTGCCACAGTCACAGAATGATATCTATCATGGTTATAGAGTAATCTGAACAGATGTCTCGAATGGACTATTCGACATGCTCGGATATCTACATCAAATTTCGGAGTTGAATTTGGTTATTCGATTTTTGTCGAAAACAGTGTATCTTGAGGAGTTTCAACACTTGCTGTTTTTTTTCTGGATAATTGCATCGTCTTTCATATTTTCGAATACAATTCCGAATAGTCATCGCCACCCATGTTTTTCCTGAAAAATCACACATCAATACCCCTTAACGTTGACTTGGAATCAGATTGACAAAATAATGCTACTCCTTCAATCGTAAGAAGATACGAGGTAAACAAATCCTCATATGCTCAGATAATCAGACGGCCATTCAATCTTTAACATGCAATAAAATCAGATCAAGACTGGTCTGGGATTGCCTTCAAAGCCTGCTAATCCTGGCTAACCACAACAATAGGTAACTCTTCAATGGGTGCCAGGGCAAAAGGGAATTGAAGGCAATGAAGCAGCTGACGCTCTTGCTAGGCAAAGGTCTGCGGCGTTGTTTATGGGACCGGAACCTGTGTTCGGTATCCCCAAAACCTCGATACGCGACTGACTGGCAAGGTGGACGCAAGAAAGACATCAGGCATACTGGAACAATGTTCCAGGACAAAGACACAGTAAACTAATGGTTGAAACACTGTCCAAAACAGTGAGTAACGACATTCTGAGCCTAAAAAGAAGTCAGATTAGACAAGTGACGGGACTAATAACCGGTTACTGCCCCTTGAGGAAGCAAGCATATGCATCTAATGGGCATCTATACAGACGATCCCATATGCAGACTACACAACCTTCTGGGAGCATTAAACTCTCAAGAGGCTTTTCCAACGAATGATTTGGTGAAGAGGCTGCTAAACCTTATGAAGGTAGCGAACCTGTTCACCTGAGCCAACAGCATGATCAGCAATACAATTGGCCCAAAGGCTGCAGTGTTTTGGGCTTCGAACCCTGACTGATCATTCTGCTATTAATCAATCAATCAATCAATCAATCTACCCCTTCAATCACTCTCAAGTACTGAGGGAGTCAAGGTGAGGTGATATATTTGTGAAAAAATAAATTCTGCCTATTTGTAACAGGAATACAGGGCATTATTTGAATTCGGGGCGAAATTGAAGAGCTACACTCGTAGTGTTTTTCCTGATCTTTCTGATTCTGATGAAAGTTTTTGAAAAATACGATTCATAAAGTTCCGAAATTTTGACATTTGAAAAGAAAATGAGTTTTCCAAGTCCGGCTTTGGAATATTTTTTCCATAGTAGGCCATCGTGTGGTGTGTCAGTAGAGGTAAATTGCTGGTGAATTTCAGGCGAAAACATCAAGACGTTCCTGAAATATCGTTCATCAAAGTTTCGCCCCGAATTAAAATGATGCCCTGTATATCTGTTACGAATAGACTGAATATATTTTTTCACACTTTTTTCACCATGACTCACCCTGTATTAGTCCATCTTGAGGCAAAAAACATTGAGACATTAAATCCAACCAGGATGTATTACCTAGAGCTCGACCTTGGTGGATGAAATTAAGGTGACATAAAAAAACAGCATTGACATTTTTTCCTATTGTTTCAGGAATGAAGAATAGGAAGCCGACCGGAAAATATCCATGAAGTGTGGAAGTCTTGATCAATGGGCCTACTAAAAAATCTCGACTATCTTCATTCGAGACCGCCTGGCAGAAAAAAGTTAACGCTGTAAGTGTAGATTACGCGCTACTGACGAGCTTTTAATACAGTTGGTTTATTTATAAGGAGGTTCTATTGAAGTAAACGAACGGAGCAAAATAGCAGAAGTTACGATGAAATTTACGATGTTCCTGATGGCAAATGGCAAAGCAAATGGGAAACAATTTATTTTTAGTTTCATGCAAAATGTAAAAACTAATGGTGGATTTTTATGCACCCTTTTTCACTAATCTGTTGCTTTCATTAACTGCCATCAGGTTCCGTACTTAGCCCGATGAAAATATTTTTGTCGTAACATTCAGTGATCACATGATTACAATAAGAATCATTCATTCATATTGTTATCAAAGTCTAATTTGAACAGAACTAGAATTTCCAGCCACATTTTGAAAAAAGAAGAGGAAGAAATTGTTTCTCTGACTCTGATAGTTAATGAAAGATACAATTCAATTTGGGTGCATAAATGAATGAACGGGAATATCAAGTTTTAACTTATTAGTGAAATCGTTAATGATTGTGAAATTACAGAAATTAATGAAAAAGCGGTGTGCATGAATCCGCCTTAATTCGTTAAAAAAACATGTTTACTTCATCTGCAAATGATCTGAATCCTTGAAATTGGTTCCTTAATAATTTAGTATCGAAATAATTGAAACGTGGAACATGTTTGTTGGCCAGGATATGGATATAATAAAGCATACCACAAATTGTTACTTCATTATATAGATTTATCTCAAATCTTCAGTATATGACTTAATCAACGCTACATTTCGCAATTTGAAATATTGAGGTGATATAGTCAGCTATATAGCTAAGATGATTGGACTGGTGATTTCTCGTTTTGAACATGAAATTTTAATGGAATTATTTAATTATTGTGCCTATAGACTTCATCAATAATATATCAGTTATTGAAGCATTATAACTAAATCACTGACAATAACTGAAATAGTGAGAAATTCATGTACATACAAGAGTTTCAACATTCTACAATACCACTTCCCCCCAAGCTCAATGAGGAATAATAAAATGAAGACCGATGTCAATAGTTTTCGGAATATTAACGTTTGAAAAGTGACATTTTGGTCATTTCAAACCCAACCAAAAACTCGAATCTTACTTCCAATCAAGTTTGTTTTGAAAAAAAAACGATTGAGATGTTACCACGACGACAAGGCTTAGCTGCAAAAAACAATGGAACAGTGAACCCATGGGCACTGAGCTCAAAGGAGCCATGTAGTGGAACACAGATGGCTCCAAATCCGAAGACGGGACTGGAATAGGAGTCTAGCGTTCTTGTACAAAGTACTAGGAAATTCTTGGCAAATTCTCAAGCATATACCAGGCAGAAGTTCTCGCTATAGAGAAATGTGTAAAGTGTTGAGCAGGGTTCTTGAGAGAAAGCAAGTTCGGGATTGTGTTAATGATTTAATAGCAATAATCATAATGTACGAAATCATTTGTTCTATCATGAAGTTATACAATCTAGAAAAATGCTATGGAAGACGATATATTATCATGGTTATCAGCTCTAAAATGATTTGGAAATGCTAGAAAAAACTGAGGGGGCTTGCCAACAGAAATACAGTCACTTTTCTATGGGTTCCCGCACATTGGGAGTAAAGGGAAAGGACATCTTAGGAAGCTCGACTTAGAAAAGGAAAATGAACACATAGCTCCTGTGAAAAGGAGGAGTTAACCTCTATCCACATACTTACTTATGTGTCACCCTACTGAATCCAAGGGCAACAAACCAAGAAGCACACAAAATAGAAGAGTAGGAGCTATCCTACCTATAACCACCTCATTTCCTGAAATTTGTGGGAGATATTGGACTAGAGGAAATGTTATAGCTACGGAGAACAACCTCATCGGGTATAGCAAAAGAAGGAGCCATAATAGATCTCTTGGGTTGCAGTGTATATTTATTCACCCCTCATGCATACAATGCAATATCCAAAAGAAGTTGCAGGTCATCGACTAATGTCCAATAACAATGGAAAGGAACCGGAAGCTGGCACTGGCTGTGTGCATCGTCTATTTATGCGTCCACGTTATGGCCAACACTGCGGCAATCGCGGGCGGCAAGAGACAGACAATCTTTGGTTAAACAAGAGACAAGCATCAAATCATTCTGCTCATGCTTCATGCTAACCAAATCTGAGAATGGTGAAATAATTCCCCAGGAATGAGAAGGACACTTGAGTTCATTACAAAACCATCGCCAATATTCACAGAATATCTACTGTGCCAGAAACGAAGATCGACTTGAATACTAGTGGGACTTCTCACGATAGATCTGGTTGAATAACTGCTGCGCAGGTCTTGTCAGGAAGAGGTAGAAACAGCAGTACACATACTTTGCCTCTGTGATGGCTTGCCAAGACTAAGGTTCTTTGCTGGAAGAGGAAAAACCAAGAACCCAAAGATACATAGAAAATTTGAAAGCTATCCTATGAAGTCTCAGAAAGAAAGTGGAGCTAGTCAAAAAACAATAGATCTGAATAAGTCGTTGTGTGGAGGCAGATATCCGTTTGGACCCATTCCAATAATAATATAATGTTATCTAATCTAGTTCCTCTTATGGGAGATCATGAAACTTTCTTGAAGATTATCCTGAAAGTTGTCTGAACAATTACAGAAGAATCAAAATCCGAGTGCGTCACTTACCCAACATGTTCAATCTACTGAAACAAAGTAGAACTATCCTGTATCTACTTCGAAGAATATTAATATACGTTTTCAGACCGTTTTGTGCCTTCCAGGTCACCGACTCATGCCCAATAACGATGTACAGCAACCGGAAGTCGCTGGTGGTCAAGCTGGCGCTGGCCGTGTGCATCGTCTACGTGTGCATCCACGTTTTGGCTAACACTGCTGCGCCCGTCATCAGGGAGATGCAGGAGTCCGGCAGGAGTCTGGCGGCAATCGGGGGCGGCAACCTGGACCAGGCGGCCGCAATGGACGCCGAGATCAAGGAGGCGGTGCCCGTGGCGGAGACGATTAAGGGGACGGAGGCGAGCAGAGTGGCGGTCGTCAAGGTGGAAGAGAAAGTGGTAAGCAATAGAGTGACTTTATAAATAGAGTGACGACAATAATAGTGGTACACTTTCTAATTGGTCACATCCTTAATATGAAGGTACATCCACCTGTCTTGTCAATTTTTCAATGCCTTGTCTCTGTTTTTTGCTCTTTGGACACAAAACATCCAACAATCTGACATGAAACTCTATACGTCAGTACCTTGGATATTAACTATCAGAATCCGTCTTTTGGGACCTTGGGTGAATCTCAGATTATTCAGATGATGAAATGAAAATATCAAATATCTAAACCCAACATCAGGTGGGCATATTGAAGGCGCAAATTCATTACTGCATGGGAGATACCCTTCATTTTAGCTAATCAGTGACTTGACCACGAATGACATTCCGGAAGCGGTAGCCATTTTGGAAGTCTATTGTCGTCACTCTATTTGATCTACTCACTCTAGTAAGCAATAGTAGAATGTTTAGTAGCGCCGCCGTATGTGGCCTATGCGGGAAACTGCTTGTATCGACGCACTGACTAAATACAACCATTTTCAAGCATCCGGGTGGCAGAGTGGTTGTGAATCCATGCGTCACACCATGACTCGGGTTCGATTCCATGCAAGGTCAACTTTTTTTGAATTTTGATCTCAACTGATTTTTCGAAAAATACACTGCAACAAAGATAGCATGATTTACGGTAACCTGTCTCTTTCCTACTCGTGTTTTTTAATGGTGGATTGCTGTTTACGTTTGCTTTTATCAAATAATTAGAGTACTTCAGATTTTTTTATCACATCTAAACAGGCAAGAAAGTGAAGACATAAGTTCATTGTCTTTGTTTATGTGAAATATCTATTCATTTGGCGTGTTTTGTTTTATAAAAAGGACTGAATTTGTTGGTGTAAATACTGTGAACCGATTGTTGAGAAGGTTTTGATGAACAATGGTGATTTATTGTGTCACCTTTGGATGCAAGAACGAGCAATACAAAAGGAAATTGCCATTCCATGGGTAAGTTGAATATTGTTCAGATTTTTGGAAAATATAGTTCTTGAAATGGTCATCAGTTAGGTGTACAATGTTCTTAGTCTCAAAAACTATACCTATATTATTTGTCAAAGTTAAATACTTCCATGACTTTTCCATGAACATATCAAGTAATATTATTTATTGCAGTTTTCCATTCAGACATTCTTGAATTATGGATTAAGGCAGTTCGTAGAGAGAGTTGGACTCCATCTAAAACCAGCAAGCTTTGTGGAGAGCATTTCCTGCCAACTGATTATTTATTTATATATACCAGGTACTGCTAGGTTATTGAAACCAGATGCTGTACCCAGTATATTTTCAGTTCCTAAGCATTTGTTACCAAAAAATACTGATCCTTGAAGAAAAATAAGAAAACTCATAGGTACCTAGTTGATAAATAATGAAAAAAAAAGTATGTTTGCACGTCTTTGAAATAAAAAACTAGGTAGTAATTTATTTTCAGGATGCATCTGTGGAAGTTCATAACATTGGGTCCTAAGGAAGATGTTTCTCATATTATGGACTTTACCTATGACTTGCAGCTCCCAAGTTTCGAAGTTCATCAATAATGAAACGATAATGCTATTTTTCGCAGGTTGATTCTTCAATCTAAAACATAGTTGGTATTAAATCTCGAATTATAAATGAATTGAGGGTTGAAATTCTAGAAGTTACATGGAATAAGAAACTGAAATGTATACGAAAACTTCTATATGAATTGAATACGACACAGGAATAGGAAACTCATCACCGGTTGCTGATTTTATGTCTGGATTCCTCTTCTGTGCGCTTCTTCCGTTGGGCTTAAATGGTCAATTCATAACACGTTGATTCTTCAACCTAAAACATAGTTGGCATTAAATCTAGAATTATAAAAATAAATTGGGGGTTGGAATTGTGAAGTTACATGGAATAAGAAACTGAAATGTATACGAAAACTGTTTTTAAATTCCGGTGCTGAAATGCGACATATTCTTCTTGAATGAACTAAACAGATAGCAAACAGTTTTCTCCTTAATGAAAAACACTGTATATACCTAACCCACCAGGCTCCTACCTCGGTTGCAATGAGGGTTTACCGACGCCAAGGGTTGATACTCTCCCCTCGTAAGGGTACCTGTCGTGACTCCATGGAAACATAAAGGTGACTACTGAAACATTTTCTATGATATATCGCCTTCCATAACAAATAATTAATTTTGAAAATATATTCTATATGAATTGAATACAACACAGGAATGGGAAACTTATCACCGGTTGCTGATTTTATGTCTGGGTTCCTCTTGTGTGCGCTTCTTCCGTTGGGCTTAAATGGTCAATTCATAACACGTTGATTCTTCAACCTAAAACATAGATGGCATTAAATCTCGATTCGAAAATGAATTGGGGGTTGAAATTTTGAAGTTACATGGAATAAGAAACTGAAATGTATCCGAAAACTGTTTTCAAATTCCGGTGCTGAAATGCGACATATTCTTCTTGAATGAACGAAACAGATAGCCAACAGTTTTCTCCTTAATGAAAAACACTGTATATACCTAACCCACCAGGCGCCTACCTCGGTTGCAATGAGGGTTTACCGACGCCAAGGGTTGATACTCTCCCCTCGTAAGGGTACCTGTCGTGTCTCCATGGAGACATAAAGGTGACTACTGAAACATTTTCTATGATATATCGCCTTCCATAACAAATAATTAATTTTGAAAAAATATTCCATATGAATTGAATACGACACAGGAATGGGAAACTTATCACCAGTTGCTGATTTTATGTCTGGGTTCCTTTTCTGTGCGATTTTTCCGTTGGGCTTAAATGGTCAATTCATAACACGTTGATTCTTCAATCTAAAACATAGTTGGTATTAGCTCGAATTATAAATGAATTGAGGGTTGAAATTGAAGAAGTTACATGGAATTAGAAACTGAAATGTATACGAGAACTGTTGTCAAATTCCTGTGCTGAAATGCGACATATGCTTCTTAAATGAACGAAACAGAGAGGCAACAGTCTTCTCCTTAATGAGAAACACTGTGAAACTTATCACCGGTTGCTGATTTTATGTCTGGGTTCCTTTTCTGTGCGATTTTTCCGTTGGGCTTTAATGGTCAATTCATAACACATTGATTCTTCAATCTGAAACATAGTTGGTATTAAATCTCGAATTATAAATAAATTGGGGGTTGAAATTTTGAAATTACATGAACTATGAAAATAATTCCAGAAATTGAATAATTTATAGGGTGTTCCGTTTGAAAAACAACCATGTATATTCAATTGTTACTTGAATGTGCTATATTGAGAATGAAAATCGACTTATTTCAGGAAATCCTCAGAAATGGAGTGTTTGGCTAGAAATGAATGTATTCACTACTTTACGGGAGAACTCAATTTAACGGACGCACTCAATTTAACGGACGCAATGTATAGAAACTCTATGTGTAATATATTTTGGAATTGAGCTTTTTATAAGATACCAAAAATTGGAAAATATGTAAGGTGTTCCATTTGAAAAAAATGTCGCGGACGTGTCAACTCAAACGTGAATCATCCTGTATACTTATTCAATTTTCACTATATACGCATGGACATGGAAAAAACACCTCGTTATATGGAGATATACCGAAGCAAAATACCAACCATGTGATGCATACCTTCTTATTCATGTACTATGTTTCAATGACAAATCCATTGAATATACAAACGTAACAAAATTTTTAGGTCTTTATATTGATGAACAATTATCGTGGACTATACATATAGATCATTTGAGGAAAAAATTCAATCCCATTGCTGGTATTATATATAAAATTCGAAATGTCGTTCCTGTTAGATACCTAAACAGTATTTATCTCTGTCTTTGTTATTCTTGTTGTTTTATTCATTTCAATTATAAGTCAAACTTTGGTAAACAATCAATATTCCATAATGGAATAATTTTATATAACTCCTTACCTAATGAGCTGAAAAAAATAGCAAAAGCAAATAGCATTCACAATTTGATTACTTGTAATGGATTATAATATTTTCATTTTATATTTGATTATAATTTTCTTTATGAAAAACAATAATTGTGCAATTATTATTGTCCCGATTTATTATGTTATATGTATTCTTTGTTGTATATATCCCTATTATAAACAATAATGTTTCTTGGGGTAATGAAGACAATCAATCAACACACTTAGCATGTTGAAAAGAGACAACTTTCATGCACTCAAACGAAAATAAAATCACTACACCGGAGATAATTTTTAGTTTTTCACTTTTAATAAATGGAGTTCTGTTTTTTAACACTCGAATAAACCGTACGCGTTGAAATCTAATACGAGACTGATGGTCGATTGGTTTGATTCTAATGACTAATTAGTTACGTCATCCTTCCATCCGGTTGAATCCCAAACTAGTATGACTAATATCGATATCAATAGAAGATATACAGTGTGGGGTGAAAAGAACTTCAATATACATTGTTACCGTTGAAGTCCGCAATCCGCATCATATAGGATTTTTTTACTATTTAGTTTGTGCAAATTAGAATTTCATGAACTGTTCTTACTTTAGAAAAAGTGCAAAATGAAGTTGATGATTTTTGCAAATCAATAACTGTCGAATTAGACATTAATAGTTAGACATTTTCTGTCAGAAAATCACGAAGTCAAAAAATCAATCTTTCGAACAAAAAAGATTTTGAAGTGTCACATGAATTCATTATTAGTAGAAGAAAAATAACTATTGAAAATTCTTGATACATATCGATCTTCGGTTTAAATTTTCATAAACTATCGTATTTTTGTTCACCTGTACCAATTTCAAGTAACTTTTGATCTTTTTTTGTAATCAGCTCAGCAGAATAATCCGAAAATCGAAAAAAGGGATTTCCAATAAAAAAAGTTACTCCTGAAGTCATCACACGAAGTTTGTTCACCATGTATATAAAGTTATTATTTAAAAAATGGTAAATTGAATTCAGAATTAATTTAGGAAATTTCGGTAGT